CTTGAAGTTCTGTGCAGACTAAACCCAGGGAGATGAGCGTATTTAGCAGACAGGGAAGACGGCATTACAGCAGCTCTAGACATAAAGCAAGGCGACGCAGCTGTTCGCAAACATTCCTGGAGCTGAATGCCTTGTCTCTCCCTAGGCTCCTTCCCTATTCTCTTGACATGCAAGTTTCTCAAAGTTTCTTGTTTCCCGTTTCTCTAAGTCATCAGTCAGCCTCCTGTGATTTTTTCCTTCATCCCCCTTGACACTGTCCCAACAAGCTGAGCCATGAGTGCCCTCCCTTGGCAGCTACATACAAGGAGGAACACGAACTAGGGAGTCAGATAAAGTTCAGGTCGAGGCCAGTGTAGTCACTTCACAACGAAAGAGCTTTTGTTTGACAAGACTTCTTAACTGTTTGGAGGGCCATCTTTTTAAAATAGCAAAATGAGGTTGCCGGCTTCAGAGGACTCTGCGGGAAGCACGTCCGGCTTCACTACGGAAAACTCTGACCTTAGAGAAGGATCCTAAGGCATCTGCAAGGAGGCTGGAAGCACTACACCCGAGGTAGGTGGGACCTATCAGGTACCGGGTTGGTCAGCCTGGAACAGCGGAAAAGGGGGCTCGGAGCCCATGGAGAGACTGGAATCCGAGCCAGTACGAGAAACGGGGCACACAGCCCATCCGTTAAATATCCTACTCATTGACTCTTCTCTGATTTTATGTTTTATTAGTACCATTTTCTTTTTTACAGGAAGAGAATGGACGGCTCCTCCAGGTTTTATTTTTTAATCTTGTTTAATGCAGCTCCATCCTTTCAGAGATAAATCTGCTCTAAATATTTCATTTTAAAATTATCCATTCATTCAATAAATATTTCTCTTAAATTTATCAAGTGCCTACTGTGTGCCAGGTGCTAGACTTGTTGCTGGGCTTTCCATGGTGATTAGCACAGAATCAGTTCCCGCCTTCACTGGAAACTCTACTTAAGTAGGGAAAACAAATAAATGCACAAATATTCATATAATTTCAACATGTATAAACAGGTATGGTCAAAATCAGATTTCTAACCTACGAAGGGGAGGGCAGATCCTGGGTGATGGTGAAATCATCTGGGTAACGAGGCCTCTGGGAGAGAACCACCAACTGTTATCTAACATCGATCGGCCTCTGCACTTCCTTCCCCAAATACACCCATCGAGGGTCAGTGAGGAGATCAAATGACATCATGTGCGCATAACATCCAACGCTGCGGGTACTGGATGAATGTTAGTCTCCTTCTAGTCTTTCTTCTCCAGACTATTCCAATTCTTAGTTTAAAGGATCGGTTCCCTTCTATAGCTTAACAGGCAATTTTTAAAGCAAATACCAGAAGTGTGTAATTACAGACGAAAGCGCAAAGCAGAAAGAAATACAAAGAGGACTCGAGTTTTCCTTGGCAGTTGATTACTCCAGCACAGAGCTCACAGTATTATGTTATGAGGCAGCTGCAGGACCAAGGACGTACCACACAGGAAATCAGCTCAACATCATTGAACAAAATATCTAATAACTTCCAATAAAGAAAGTCTACTGATAATTTATGGTCAAATCCAGATTAAAAGACTACTTGTAAAATATGGGAGTTTTATAATCTTCAGTTCACCGTATATTAAAAACCCGGACTCTATAAAAATTTTAAAAAGATGTTGCATAACTTTATTTCCACGTTTTATTAATCTTACTGATGTCCTGTATTCTAATAAAAAATAAGTGTAAGAAAAGAAGTAAGTTAGTAAGCTGGTAAGTTATGCCAATATAACGATCACGGGGTTATTTTGTTGGAGCTGAAGATCAGTTATGATTTATTACCAACGCTCTACTGGTAAAGCTGATAATGTAATAATCAGAGAAGTGAAATTCACCTAGAGCTTCACATATATTTTCATCTCAACTTATAAATTTAATTTATGCTAGCTTTACTGGATACACTGCCTCCTCAATATGGCAAAACCAATGGGACATATTATTTCATTTAACTTTTATATTACTAAATTCCACCATTATACAAACTCTACAGAGCATGCAAAAGGGAAGGAAGGCTGTATTGTAAAAAATACAATTGACTACACGAGATAAACCATTTTAAACGTCTCATATGACTTTCTGTCTTTCATATTACCTATAGTCTGTTTTATGTTAGTACCTCCAAGTCTCTCACTGGTACTTTGGCTTTTCACAAGTTTTGTTCAGCACCACACTCCTTCCCAGTCCTGGCCCTGCTCCTCACTTTCTTATGCGTGAGGATCTGACCTCCGGCTCCCAATCCTCAGACCTGAGGCCCTGGCATCAGCTTCAGTTCATTTTTCTCCATTACTCCCTCATTGCATCAAACTTCAAATCCACTAACTCTGCTTCTCGATTAGCTATCATATCTGCTTCCGAATCTTCATTCCAACAGTTACTTCTTAGCTCCTGCTCCCGGGACATCTCCCCTCTATCAACATAGTAGCCTCCTAAGAGGCCTCAGGCCTGGAGTTCTCTCCTTCTGCCAACCACTGGCATAAAGCTGTCCGGTTAATTAATACTGAAGACTCAGATGAACACTCCTGTATTCCACTGCATTCCAAATAAAGACAAAGATCCTTAGACTATCAAAGGCCTTCCACGGATTGACTCCAATCAAACTTTCCAACTTTATTTCCCTGCACTCTCTCGGGTTTCAAAGACTAAAGTGAGCCTTGCAGTGTCTTGTATTGTTACCATTCTTATTGCCTTTGATTATGAAGTTCAATTAAGGTTGAAAGTCATTTTCTCATCTCTGCATTTCTATGCACTGGCTGTTCTTCAAGGCCCACCTCACTAGTTGCCTCCTACANTCTTATGGCCTTTGATTATGAAGTTCAATTAAGGTTGAAAGTCATTTTCTCATCTCTGCATTTCTATGCACTGGCTGTTCTTCAAGGCCCACCTCACTAGTTGCCTCCTACACGAAGGCTTCAATGACCAAGGTATCATTTATTGAATGACTAGCATATGCTAAGCACATAAAGCTCTCCATGCGTTAATTATTCCATCTCCAACGCACAATAACCCTTAGCTTCAGATGTGGAGACGTCTCACAGAAGAGAACTGACTTGCCCATGGTCTCAGATAGTAAGCAGTGGGTAAGCCTGTGGTCCTAACTAAAACATTCTGACTCTGGTTAACCACTGTAACTCGCAGTTTACGCCCTTGGCAATATATACCTTCGACTCTGTGTGTTCCTCTCTTAGAGTCACTACTTTGTACCTTATCTCATAGCTTTTAATTTGTATGTTGAATTTGCTGGTCACTCAATGAAAGGTCTCTGGAGAATTCATGCTGTTTTATTTAGCGTTGACTTAATAAATGCTCATGCAAGGATAGATGGATATACTAGTTCCCTATCCTAAAACTTAATGTGCCTTCCTACTACCTAGTTCATCATGTTTTACATCTTCTAAGATGAAAGTTCTTCAATACTCTGTGGCTTGAAAAGTACACGGAGGTGTCCTTTTCTGGGTATTATTTACCATGATGCCTCAACACGCACCTAATACTCCCATTAGGCTCAAATGTACAACATCTAACAGCTCACGGCCACTGCTGCCCTCGGCTCCTGCTCTTTCTCTTTTGTGGGATGTCACCCACCTCTTCTGAAACCATATAACATTCTTTACAGGTTGAGCTAAAAAATACTTGCAAAGGTCTTCTACACAAGGCAGTGTCTCATGAATTAAAAATATAATAAAAATATGTGCATACGTGATTCTACACCTGGGGAAGTCTCCCTAAATTCTAGAGTTCCCAAGAGGATCCTGTCTAATACAGCAAAGCTCTGAGCACATTTTAAAGCACACGTTAAATACTTGAAAATAATGACAGCGGGTTTTGTGAATTAAGCCTATTCTCACATAAAGTAAATTAGAGCAATGACTTGGCAAAAAAAAAAAAAGAAGAAAAAAAAAAGAGTCTAAACTTCCGGTGGGGAGCACCCAATAGACTATCAGGTGTTGTATTAAAGAGTTGTACACTTGAAATTTATGTAACATTATTAACCAATGTTACCCTGATAAATTATAAAAAATAAAAATGAATTAATAGTTTTTGAAAGCAATTTAATTTTTTGTGCTTACTATACAGACTTATTCGAAGAAGTTGGTCCTACTTTATTATTTCAACCCCAGATGCTATTTATTTAGTTAAAAGTTAGGATTGTCCTCTAGGACAATATGACAGCCTCGGCGGTGTGAGGTGCTTTGCCAGTGAGGGGATGCGGGAGGAAAGATCTCCCCTAATGTTTGCTTCCCGAGCTGGTCAAGCAGCCCATGTGACATCTCCCGCGCCCCGTGTGCGCATAGCCTGGGTGCACAAGGACAACTGCGGGCCGCAGCTGCGCGCACCGGGGTTCGGCGCTTGCCCAACGGAGCTGAACTCCGACGGGCTGAGCGTCGACTGGGGGAGGCTAAAACGCTCTCTCACTCAGCACCTTACATCTTTTACTTACATTTTTCTTCTTTTTTATACGTTCGGGTGGACTATACAACAGTTCACACGAAACAGCTAAATGCATTTTAAAACATGAGCCCCCAAGGAGGCAGAACGCCGTGGAGTCACCGCGCTTCTGTGAGTTGTCCCCCAGCCGGGCTCCTCTTTCGCGTCCCCCCACCCCCTCTGGAAGCGGACAGGAGCCCGCCTGCAGACCCACCTGCTCAGACGAGCACGGCCCCTCTCACTCTCCCTAACTAGCCTAATAACCGCTTCTCGAGGGAAGGAAATGTGCTCTGGATCCTTAAAATGCATTCCTTTTCATTCTTCCTGTGTCTCAAACAGACAAATCTTAGCCACTTGGACAAGATATTTAATTAAACAGAGTGAGGGTCAATACCGTTCTGAAAGGAACATTTGTCTAAGCGAATTGATCAGATCTGCCCGTGATAAACCCAGACTCTGCTAAGGAAAGTCATGGTTTGGGTCCCTGGGGAGGTGAAGGGGGGGAGTTTCAGGACACATACATTTCTGTGATGGTCTCAGGCAGGTTCGTGGGAATCTCCGTGAGGCCTTTCCCACGACAGTCTACAATATTGTTGCTACAGGTACAAGCAGCTGGACAATGCAAAACACTGCAAGAAGGAGCCATAAATGACTGGTGACCTGGAAAAAAAACAAACCACAAACAGCAATTATATTTTTCCTCCTAAAGTTTATAATCGTGAAACATGCATGCTTATCTCAACTATCAAAGCATATCAGATACATTTCTCTATATACCTGATTATAAAATGGTTCTATATTTCTAAAATACACTTTAGGAAGCATGCATTTATATTATTTGGGTCAACACTCAGATGAAGCAAATGAGATTTTTTAAAAGGGATTATAAAAATGATCATTTTGAAGACTTGAAATCCTTGTGAGAAATACTAAATTCAGATTTGAAACTAGAATTCTATTCAAAACTATTCTGAATTACAAAAAAACAGCAACTTCAGGCTAATTTATATTTCACTTTCTAATAGATCTTGGTCTTTACTGAATTTACATAGCTTCACTTACTTTACCTCAAAAATAAAAATGTCTCTCTTGGTAGGCATCACTGTTGATTTTAAATAAGTAATCACGTGGCAATAAATGTGGGAGAAAATGAGATCATGCTAAGTTTAATGTCTGAATAGGTTCAAAATGATCATTTTCTTTGAAATTATTGTAATAATTTCTAACGTCATTCTTTCCTTGTTGATTATGTTGGTTTTTTTTGGCTTCCCAAGGCCTAAAATGTTACAATAGGTAATTTCCTGCAGGTGTATAATTTTACTACTAATTATTTGGAAACAAAACTATTCTGAAATGAGATGTTAGGGTTAGGATGGTGACCGACAGTGTGAGCAGTGTTTTAGCAAACGGGCATGTGCACACCCTGGCTGCTGCAGCAGGGACCATCCTCTCTGACCCCCAGGGAAAGGCCCCAGGGGTGGGGACACCCGGGGAAGAGGCGGCAGGCTGGTTCCTAACCCAGCCCCTCCCACAAACTCCCAAACTCCACAAACACGGCTCAGTTTAAAAAAGAGACGCGGACTTGCCTTCTGCCTCCTCTAGAAAGCAGGGAGGGAAAAGCGGAAAGAGAGAAAAGCGGTTAGTAAGGCATTGTGTCATCTCATTACTTAATTTAAAAAGATCCCTCTGCAGTCCAGGACGTCACAGGCAAATTTTGTCTGGGTTATAAAAAGTGCGGGACTAAAAGGTAACAATACAAAGGTAACATGAAAAGGTAACAGTAACTCAGAACTCTATGCTAGCACCTCTTTTCTCACTCCCTTAGGAAACTGGTAACTATTTACGATGTAGCACATGTATTATTAAAATGTCTTTTACTGTATGTTGAACAGTCGCTTCTAAAGCTGACCCAGTCCTATATTTATAAAGGAAATTACAGGTTAATATGAATCAATACAGGGTGGGGCAAAAGTAGATTTATAGTTGTTCATATAGAAAATAATACAATAATTAATAAATAGTAAAACAAGAACAATCTCTGTTTTGTATACTCACAACCATAAACCTAGTTTTGCCCCACTCTGTATTAACATATAATTTTATAAATATATATAATTATCTATCTCTGTCCATGGATTGGGAATCAGACTGTCTAGGTTGAGATCCTTGAATTCAACTCTATAACCTTGAATAAGGTTACTTTGTATCTTTTTCTCAGCAATGTAACCTCTAATATAAAGATGTTACGTTTCTCTACAGTTGTGATGAGGGAGTTAAACTGAGGTAACTATATGTGAAATACTGAGATTGGTGCTTAAGCCCCTGGAAAGAACTAAGTAAATGTCACCTACTGATATTTTATATCGCCCTTGTCTTATTTTTGTTTTCAGATTTTTATTGCTAAAGCTAGTCATTTATCTCTTTTAAGTAGAACTGAACCCCTCGTATATATGTATACACAGCAAGTACTTTGTCACTCTACAACTATACTTGAGTTATTTTTTGAATTTCCCAGCAGAGATCCAGGATTAATTAATCATATTTCCAATTGTTAACATAAAAGCAGATATAAATGATTACTTAAAGGGAAAATAATGAGTAGCAAATAGAAGTAAAATCTAGGGATTTCCTCTATTTCCCCTGGAGTGAAAACTGAGAAGTCTTTCATCATACCGAGGGTACAAGTAATCAGTAATTACCAAGCACGCACCAAGGTCTTAGAACATGTTATTATCACTGAAACAGGATTTCCAGAGAGCGATTAGCCCACAACTGCACGTTAGTGAGGAACACGAGACCCCGAGAGCATGCACCTTCCACAGTTTCCTTAACCACAGCGCAGTAGGCCAGCACGCAGGCCCTCTCCCTTACCGCTGCAGACAAACTCCCGCTTCTGCACCTCGGCCACGTTGTGGCCCCGCAGGTGGGACGGGCCCATGCACTGCGTGTAGAGGCCCACCCGGGGCCGCTGCCGCAGCCAGTCGGACAGCCAGGCCAGGTGGCAGTCACAGTGCAGGCTGTTGGAATGCAGTCGGCTAAATGAGAGGCAAGCCGTTTAAAGCAAAGAAAGAAACAGAGAGTTATTGCAAAACCTGGAGAATTCTCTAGTAACAATAAATAGCTTTGTTTCTTAATACAGAATTAGATCAGGCAGAGCAACGTTCGATCGAATTATCTGTCTAAAAATTAAGCTGCTTTACCACCACAGAACCAAGTCTGTGTTCTTCTATCTGTGAGCTAAGCGAATATAGAGAAGCTAGGACATGGTTATAAATATCTCTCGCCTGTGTTCATTCAACATGGTAGAGACACAAGTGAGTCCAAGGCAAACTGCTCCGCAGTCCAGACCTACCGACAGCCCGTCGGGGCTGGGGCATGGGGGGAAAGCGTGGGGCGGGCAGGGCCAGGAGGCACGTGAGCCAAAGCAGAGCTGTGGCTCCCAGGGTGAATTATTAGTCTCTGCAGAAACTGCTTGTAAAACCTTTTTAGCAGGTCGCTTTCATTTTTTGCTCAACAAGACAGAATAATAATTCAGTACAAAGCACTGCTTTCACCCTGGAGGTGGCTCAGTTGGGTGAAGTGGCGTCCCCTACACCCAAAGGTGGCGGATTCGAGTCCCAGGCAGGGCACATACCTGGGTTGAGGGTTTGATGCCCAGTCGGGGAGCCTACAGGAGGCAACCAATGGATGTTTCTCTCTCACATCAATGTTTCTCTCTCTCTTTGTTTCTCTCTCAAATCAATAAACATATCCTCGGTTGAGAATTAAAATACAAAAGTAGAAAACACTTCTTTCAGGTCCCTAATTCTTATTTCCCTCTTTTCGTGTATTATCAGAAAAAGGGATCAGCAGCCTTTGGCTCTTGGGGAACCTACCCTCAAGGAGTAGAAACTGGAATTAAAAGACATAAATGGCTGGGAGTGAAGGAATTAAGTGAGCCCCCTGTGTTGGCAGGAATCCACGCCCGATCGTGGATCCCTTCCAAGTGGCAAATAGCGCTTGGCCATTAATAAAACATCAGACAAATGTATCCACTAAATTAGGCAAATGCCTTCAAACTGGCTTTTATGTTTTCTCAAACTAAAGAAAGGGACATCCAAAGCTATAAATCAGAGCATCGTTCCCAGAATCATCTATGACACAGTAATACCATTTTAGTCCTTTTTAGCTGATGTGCTCAATTCTAACCCAATAACAGTAATGGATATTAAAACATGGAACTCAGTCCAGAAAGATAATTGGGCCATAAAAATGGAATTTTTAAGTAGCAGTGATCATATAGAACGATGCAGCGACCCAAGCAAGGGGGCTTAAAGTTAGCTGGCTCTCCTGCGTTCTCCTTGGGCTCTGGGTGTGGAACCGTCTCGCATGGAAACGAGACGGCAGCCGCGGAACCAAGAGCCGCGTTTTGGGAGAGCCGGGTGGCCTGGCTGGGCCCGTGTGGACGTCGGGTGGCATCCTTCGGAGGCCACCTAACGCATCCCACGTCGCTCTCTCAACATTTCCGTCTGAACCAAGCACATTACGACTCAGTTACATGTGCACACGTGATATAAGGAAGGAACGTAGGAATTTAAAAACCCAATTAGTAAGACAAACTGTGGTGGATCCGTACAAGAAGATAAGGCACACTACCAAAGTGCAGGCGGTGGAGGGGTTTACAGTCCTTGGGGATTTATGTTGCAGAGAATAAAAGCTCGATCAATTTATTTTTTCTCAACTTTAACTTAATTTAATGAGAAACCAATTTCATTAAATATAGTTTAAGTGAACTGAGCTGTTAATTTGGTCAGATTAGTCTCAATCTGAGAGCCCCAGGAAAACAAAATTTACTTATGTCTGCATACTTTTAGAATTTCTTTATTTCACTAAATCATATTCTAAGGAAATTATGATGATGGATTATTACATACAGAGCTACATTTTAGTGAGAAAAAATGACATTAAGATTGGCATTACCTAATAATTAAAAATCTGGCAATTCAATTGGCTTGTTTATTAAAAAGGGGAAATAAATATAATGTTTCCAGTTATCAGCTGTTATAAAATAAAAAATATTTTGAAAACCCACTAAAAATATATGTACCCTAGTTGCAAACGCATACTTTTTCAAGAAGTCCGGTGCTTTGGTCACATTTCTAGCTATTTCTCACACATTGTATATAAATATAGCTTTTTAGGTCAAGGTAATTCTGAAACTGAGTTCAAAGGAGATTCATCTCTGAAAATGCTTTAAGTAAATATCCCCACCCTGGGCTTTAAGGATTAATTTTTCTCCAAGAGAAGGAAAATAACATAGCTGTAGCAAATATTTTATTCAAAATCCACTTTATTCATCTAAAATATTTTAACGTCCATCTGTAACCCCTGAAAAGGTATTTTTAAATAGAAATGCTGACACAACCTTGATTATAGAAACACTAGAAGGTAACGCTGTAATTTTATGTTACAAAGAATGCTGGAGAGCTAGTTTAGCTTTATTAGGCCTGCTTGACGTACAGTAATAAAAACATAAAGATTTACCATTTATCATTTCTGACAGCCAATCAAGGAGTCTTCCATTTCTTAATGAAATGTGACCTCCACAATAGCTCAAAGTAAACTTCCCAGGACACATATCATTTAAAAGAAAGCTTTCAAGTTTTCAGAATAACTCACTCAAGTATCATACCTAGAACTTTAACAAAACTGGTGTTTTCCTTGTCTGCACCGTGATAAACTACCTGTTCGCTGCTGACTAAAAATAGTGCTTAAGGGGAACCCTTAACTGATGAGATTGACCTTTATATATA